GTTTCAAAACTTTTGAAACAGTTTGACACTGACATAACTATGTTCCAAGACGAAGAAGACGATGACAAGGCTTTCCCAACCTCACTGTCCTTTTCCTACATCAAAACTATAGGTGTTCTTTGTGGCATTTAACATGGCAAGAATTAGTGATTTAATAACAGTTGTTATCAGAATAGGACTGTTATATAATGATAATAGTAACGTCCGAAACTGTTATTTTACTACCGTGATACAAGTAATTACATTCGTTATGTGTGAAATCGTGATAAACGCAAACTATGTAAAGACAATAAACTTAGCTAAATAAAAGCAAAAGGGTTTTACCTGTAAGCAAAGAGTTTAGGGTCGTGAAACTACGTATCCTTTAGCTATTTTCATCATAAATCTAGCATGAGAAAATGAGGCAAGGATATAACCAGAGATGACCTGCCGATCCATAAATTACATATAGAATTTTTGGGTCGGGTGGGTGGGTCGAAAACCCGACCCAACCCATACCCATCCCTAGCTTCATCCATGTCAGAAAGGTTACAAACAGTTTAGAATTCTGGATTAAGTAAAGAGTCCCGTCATCCTTTTTTCCACACGCCCGCTTTGTGAATGGGTCAATAGAGATGGTAGTAGTGGATTCTATTCACATTATCCCTAAATGAACTTAATATCCTCCATTTTTTACTCATAATAGACCATAACTCCAAGTGGTACATTTCATCTAATCTCTCCTACATCGGTTGGTATCATATCTTTTTTCTTCTCCCAAACATCATTTTTATTATAACAATGAACACTCATTGATATCTAAAGTTTGATAAAAAGACTGAGGCTTATTCTCAAGAACATGAAGCTTGTAAGAAGGATTAATGGATAGAAGGTGAAGTAACCCAACCACTAGTACACTTTTTTATTCCATCCAATGAGTTCAAATTTATTGTTTTTTTTCATAGAAGTGAAGTGAACCACAAACTAACTAGAAGTGTGGACTTAGGTTCAAAATATAGCACATGCAGGGCAATCATTATATGCAGCAAACCGAGAGAGCATCCAATTTCAGCAATGAAAATACCATAGGCATGCATTGAAAACTACAAATTAGGACTTAACCTATGTAGTAAGCATCTAAGCCAATAACTTAAAGGATTCATAATTACCTCATCACCACTCTTTTTTTGCATTTGCCATTTCTCTTGTGCAGATATCATTCGCTCTGCAAAATATCATTATCTTTTTTTTTTGCATTATGCCATTTCTCTTGGTGATTAGTGAAATTTGCTTTTGTATCTTGAATTCCTCCTGCAAAACTCGGTGGTTTTTAATTTTCAGCTTATGTATCGAAATTAATGCAAATAATACATAGTCTTTTGCCATATATATTAGGGTTTTACTATGTCATTATCTTTAATTTCCAGCTTATTAAGGGCCCATTGTATAAACTTAATATGACTAACGAATGCAAAATTGTAGATTGTTCACCCACCCTCTACATAACAATCCTTCTTTCGGATTTTGCTGCTAATAAGCTAATGTTTCATGGAAAACTGGAAAGTCATGGCGCAAAATGCCTAATAGTAACAAAATCAAGCGTTGGATTTGTTAAGTAATAATGTCATTATAATATATACTCTATATAAATTCAATACTAATTTATACTTACGGTGCCACACTTATTTGCTGTATAGGAGAAATTTGTTTTAGAGGTCTCTGACGACTATGTGAAGCAAGCGTTAGGGAAGAGAGGAGGGATCACAAGAGCTCCTTAAAGAAGAAATACTTCAAGAATGATCTCAGCCTTGAAGAGAAGTTGCAAACAGTCCCACCAGGAATACTCAGGTACCAATGGGAAGATGCAGTCAGATTTTGGAGTTCTCAAAAAGGACAGGTGATGTATTTTTCATAAATACTTGTAACAAAATTTAAATCATCATTATAAGTGGTTGTTTGACATTGTAGGACCGAGAGCATGTTGGTGTTGCTAGTAGGCAACAACAAAAGTTTACGCACACGGCTGGATCGAAGAGCTTTGCTTGTATAGCTCATGAGGAGGTATTATAGATTATTGAAATAGTTTTTTTTGTATTCCATGTACATACTAACTCATAGTAATTACATTATGGTACATGTAGGAAAATACATCCGGTTCAAAGTTGGTCGAATCCAACTCTTCGACATGACACATACGAAGAAGGATGTCACTCCTATGACTGCTGACGCTGCAGAAATTATGGTACGTTTTATTGGGTAGATGTTTTAAATTACCTGACTTATTTATTTGTACCATGACATTTTTATTTTAAATTATTCACTTTATTATTAGGAAAATTTGAGGGAGAAAAGGGCAGAGTATCATGCTATTGCTTCAAGTCAAGGTATTGTTAATGATGATGACATTGAAAACCAAGCTATTAATGACGTTTTGGGTCCTGAAAGATATGGTCGGGTGCGCTATCAAGGATCATTCGTTACTCCCACCAAATATTGGATCCAGTTCATCACAGTACATGTCATCACAGTCCGATCTTCCCAATTAGAAGTTGGTCGTTTAAAAGAAAGTTGGCTGAGATGGATCAAACAAATGGCTAACTTGAAAGCGGAAAATGAAGCAAGGGAAACAGAGAGAGCAGCAGCAGAAAGCAGCTAGAGCAGCAGCGGAAGCAGAGAGAGAAGCAGCGGCGCACAGAGAGAGGCATCGGCAGAACAGAGAGAAGTAATATATCAGCAGATGTAAAGAATTTGAAAAACGACTCATGATATGATGCGATGATACAAAAACGCAACCTCAGAATCCACCATCGTAGCCTCATTTATGTTATGAGCATTATGTTAATGTTACTGAACCGTGTTTAACTTAACTTATATTACGTTAATGAAAACTTTTATTTATTATATTGGATTTGATGTTATGCTGTTTTGTTTGTTGGATAATGGAACAGGTTGAAAAAACAGATTTGGGGTATTAAGTATAATTTTTAGAATTGTAAATTCTGTGTTATTTAGCGGCGTTTGTAACAAAAATGCTGCAATATACCATACAGTTAGCGGCGTTTTTGATAAAAACGCCGCAAAATCTCAAAACATATCCTGCGGCGTTGTAGGAAAACGCCGATAAAATAAAAATCTACTGCGGCGTTTTGAAGAAAACGCCGCTAAACATCAAGACTATTGCGGCGTTTGTCTGCCAAATGCCGTTAAATATCAACACCTATTGCGGCGTTTAATGATAAACGCCGCTAAATATCAATACCTTTTGCGGCGTTTGTTGAACAATCGCCGCTATATGTTGTAACCTATTGCGGCGTTTTTTTTTTTGAAAAACGCCGCAAACTTTAGCGGTGCTATTTTTAGCGGTGTTTTAGCGGCGTTTTTTTTACGCCGTATGTGTTTTAGCGGCGTTTAAAACGCCGCTATAAGTAAAAAAACGCCGCAATAAGCCATTTTGTTGTAGTGTACATAATAAGAAATATATCCATGCCTCTTGATTGAGTGAGACTAGAAATGCATGGCCATGCTCGAATAAGTTGATATGAGATATCACAAATTAATCGTTAATTAAAGTCTACTATAAATATCAAGAAACAATAGATAAGTCATACAAGTGTGACTTCTAAGACTTGTGTCTATTCTAAATATAAAAGACAAAAGAATACATAAAGAGTAATCACGAAGATGATATATCGAATCATATTTTCTTGTAACTTAGGTGACAATGATATATTGCTAGATGTCACTCATTATAATATTAAATTGATCTAATAATTACTGCTAACGTTACAAGAACCTACAAAGGTCACACCCTACGATTGAAATGAGCAAAGATGTACAATTTGTTGTACGTACTAAAATATATCTAGAGTTAATATATCTATATTTGATATACACATGTTTTAATTATCCTGAATATTTAATTTAAATTAATTAAATAAAGATTTAATTAATTCGAAATAATAAAATCCCTAATATGTTAGGATAACTTGAATATAAAAGAAGCGTAAGGTTTAGCAACCGTTTTTGCACATTATCTTCTGCCGTTTTCTCAAAATAATTTTGGGAAAAGCAAATATTGCTCTCAATCGGGTGAACTAAGTAGAGGCCAAGACATTGTTTCGTGGAGGCTTACGATTTGAACCGATCGTCACCACCATTAGCCATTGTTGTCCTTGTTGTTTTTCAAGGAACCCGCTGTAAGTATTCGCATCTTTTCTTCCCGATTTTGGTTTATCGTACTTGGATTGCTTGTGATACCATCGAATTTTTATTTCCGCTGAGCCATGGGTGAGCCGACGGTCCCAACAGACCCTCTAAAATGCTCCAAATTTTCTTATATTTAGATATAGTGTATTTTGTAATTAAATTTAAATAATTTTCATATAAATCAAGCGAACTTAGTGATAAATGAATTGTTGTTATTCTTTGAGGTATTGGCTTTGAGCACTAGGAAGTCAAAGGTAGGACGTTCAAAGTCAAATGATTGAGATTTATCTTTAAACAAACATTACATTATACTAATCCCATATTAATAAATAAATAAAAGCATTCAATCTAACCTCCATAGGATCCAGCATACATCCATTGAACTCGTTGATTAATTTCTATGTAAAATGTAACCAAATTTCAATTGCTCAGAAGTGTTTGATAGAATACGCGAAAGAAATTTGGTTTCATGGCGTTCCCTCATGGCAGGGTATTTGCAAACTGGGTTTTCATTGGAAGTGTTAAGTTGTTCAAAAATATAATTTTGGTGGATAGTTCGAGGCCTAACCAGTATGTCTTCGCAGTGGTTTTTTCCAGCTTGTTCCGATAGTGGGAAGACTTTAGAGGGTAGGCAGTGTCATGGTCATGTGATCAAGTCACGGTTGCTTTTGCATTAATGCATTAAGAGTATCCATTGATAAATATGTGTTCAAAGTCTTTTGATAAATATGCATATGAATGTCATTAGACTGATTCACAAAAAAGTTGTCTCCATTAATTTTACAAATTTTTGGAAATCTATTCTGCCATCTCTATTACATCAAGTTATTGATCATTTTGTTGCAATTCTCAATCTTTAAACCTTCTTTCAAACCCAAAACACAGAGAACTGTCTGCAACGCTTGCGCATCAATACACCCATCTTTATTCACATCAAGCACATCAAAAGCTTCCTTCAACTCTTCCAAGCTCGGCTCTTCTTCTTCAAACACCCTGGAAAGCTCATCAGAACCAAATGATTTATTTAGCTCCTCACTTTCTTTGCTGCAAAAAATCCCCAGATTCCCCATCACCTTCTCCACATCTTCTCTGCAAACTACCACACAATCTTCCTTTTTATTAAAAGAAGCTTCTTTGGTTGAACAATCATAATTCTGGGGTTTCTCCAAATTTGATGATGCCTTTGAGCTGCCATATTTGGATTGTGGGAAAGACGAATAGCTTGAGAAGAAACTTTTAAAGCTGTTATAACATGTCAAGCTAAGAAACAACAAGATCATACTGATATCAGTGAATGGGAATAGGGTATAGTCCGAGTTTGTTGATGATGTCTCAATTTTGTAAGACTATAAAGAAAGAAAAACTAGAGCTATTTGATTTTCAGATGGTGTTGAAGAATGAAAGAAAGAATTAATTTTGATGGAATGGTGAGGATTGGGATTGGGGTATTTGAAGGAACCAGAGACGGCAGGCGGAGGTGGTCAAGTTTTCAAAGGGGAAGTTGCCTTCGGTGCAACCAAGAGAGCGGCTAGGAAACTCGGTGGCCATAGCTATCTATGTTTATTTACATGGAATGTGTGTGGTTTGTTGCTTGGAACCTTCAGCTATCCTATATTGTAGGAAATGGTCTTGGAAGTGAATACTGATGTGTTATAGGCGATTGTTACATTTGCGTTTTCCACTACCCCATTGACTACTACGTTGGGATTATTATTTCACTTTACGACTGGACAACATACTAAGTCATAAAAATTATGTCAACTATATCTATATTACTTATTTCTACTCTACTCATCAACGTTGATCATCCTCAAAATATTATTAGACAGACTTGAACCTGAGATCTTAATAAAATAGTTTTAATGATTAATCACTAGACCAAATAACATAATTATTATATTTTTAATTAAATTAATTTTTAACTTGAACTGTGATTAAAATTGATTTTTTTAATTCATTTAAAAGAAAAAAATTAATTAAATATTTATTTATAATTTAATTTATTGGTTAAAAGAAGGATTCTTAATGCAAAAGATCCTTGATTCAAATTATTTTCCTTTTTATATACACACTTTATTTGTTTTGTTTTAAGTCTCTTATCTTTTCATTGTATAATTTATTTTCCTATAAAAATTCATGTCAATAGTTCATTTTTTAATGACTGATATAAAAATAATAAACAGATGAATAACGATATGTTTAACTTAAAAAAATACTTAATTTTTTAATTAAACTGGGTAAGTACAAAACAATATATTTTCAAAGATATAACTCAACCATTTGACATTGAACGCTTACACCCTTGATATTCATGGTGCTCAAATCCGGGACTTTAAGTAATAACAATAATTTATTTACCACTGAAATCGATTGGTTCGTACAAAAAATTACTTAAATTTAATTACAAAACACACAATATATAAATATTATATTTATTTAAAATTTTAAAGACTGGGCTAGTAAAAAAAACAATGTTATGTTTGGGTGAGGCTAGGCAAGGCCTCTTAACCCTGAAAATTCATGAACTTTGATCTTTGAGACAGACTTGGGCTTCAACCTTCAAATACAAGTTATGCTTGACTCGTTTTTCAGTTATATGTTAATTTTGATTCTTTTTTTATTAAAGTATATATTTTTATTTAATTATCTAAAGTTGACATGTATTATTGATTAAGAAAATTAAATTGGAATAGACTTGGATAAAAAAACAATTGAATGACTTCGGGTTAGAGAGAATATTATTTTTTCTTCTAATTCTAAATTCGAATAATTATATATACATGACATGCATTATTAAATGTTAATGATTAAAAATAATTATAAATAAATATTATCTTATAATTAACTCACTTATACATTAAATTAAAAAAAAATTACTGCAACAAAAGAACAAGCAGTCATTTTCTTGTAACAAGAAAGGGGAAATCCATGGATTTTACAAGAAAAAGAAAGGCATAAACATCAACCCTATCCTCTGAAACCAACTGAACAATTTGCTTCTGTAATTCAGTCAAACATAATTAAGCCAATAAAAAACAGAAGCATCACTCAAACTCAACTAGGGTTGTGGAGGAGGGCAAAATATGTAACCAGTTCTGGGGTTAGTATTTGGCTCTGGTTCTAATTTATAATCCAGCATTTCAATCATCTCCCTTGATCTATCTGCAATTTCCTGTTTGCCAAACATAAAATTTATACAAAGAATACACAATTCAGCCCCCACAATTACAAACAAATACTAGGAAAAACCAAGAAAATATAGAAGAATCGACCTCCGATTGAGCAGCGGATTCTTCAAGCTCAACATTCTCCATCGATATTCTACCGAATCCTAAGAATTGACAACCAAAAATGATATATGACTTGGGGGAAAAGGGAGAAGAAACATCAAATAAAACAAAGTAATACCTTGAGAGGATGAGAGAATCAAAAGCATTGAAAGAAGAATCAGTTTGAGAAACCAAGAACGACCCATTATCTGTTTCAGAATCCTGGGAAATGGGTATCTCTCAAATTTTATAAAGATGTTCAGTCCTACGAACATGCTAAGCTTCGGTTTTCAAGGCTTTTCAGCTTCTTCAGATCCAATGAATCATATAATATCATGTGAATGAACATAGCATTTTTAATTATTAAAAATGCACATTTATTCACATAACTACTTGAACTCGAAATTTAAAAAATAATACCTTTTCTAATCATTAAAGTTATTTAATAGGCACGAATCAAGCGACCTGATAAATAAATTGTTGTTATTCATTGAGAATCTGAGTTCGAACACCATAGTTATTAGGGGTGTAAGCATTCAATATTGAGAGATTGAGAGTTATTTCTGGACATATATTATCTTGTACTTACCCTAGATTAATAAAAAAAATATTTAATAGATTCAATTAATCATTTAACCTAATTTAGGATAATTAATATGGGATTTAGTGTAAAATAATTATTGTTATATATGGCGGTGCACGTGTGTTTAGTTTGCACACGTGAAAAACCCATGAGCGCCTGCCATGTGAAACTAAATGGAACTAGAAGTGCCACATTTTTTCCATTAAACATCAAAAGGTCAGGATAAAAGTTTAAAAGTAACGCACAAGTTCAGACAAAATCTTAACTCTAAATTTCATATCAAACTATACTTAAATAAATATATATTATGTTTTTATTATGCATGAATTCAGTTCATCTAAATTTAACTTCAGTGGCGGATCTACGCTTACATGATGGTGAATATATATTCATCTTAAAATTTTATTTTTATTTATTTTATTTAAAAAAATCTATATTATTAATATATGTATATCTATTTAAAAAATATTTATAAATTTATCATTGTTTAATTCGATTTAATTAATGATTAACTATATAACGCAAATATGAATAATTCTTTAATACACGACCATGAAATCTTTCCTCCTTAAATAACATTAACTTACCGTCATTTGCATTTAATTATGTACTTAAATAGTAATTGAAAAATATGATAGTAAGTTAAAATCATTTGTAGGTTAATATTAAAGCACTCAATCTACTTGTTCCAGTTAAACAAAAACCCTTCTTTATTAGAAGCTTAGGGTTGACTTCTAATCCCAAATCCCAACGATTAGTTAGCTGTACTTTGTAAATAATTTAGAAATTATTATTTGTTTAGAGGTTTGAGAAAAAAAATTATCTTAACAAGTGCGGTCGAATTATAAAAAAATATCGTGCGAATTTACCTTAAGCTTTAAAGATGGCATAGGTAGGGACAGACATGGGTCGGGTTGGATTTTTGGTTAATCCGACCAGATCTGAGAATTATATATTTTTTATCTGATCATCCGACCCGAAAAATATATACATTCTACTTGATTCGAACCCAACCGACCTTTTAAGATAAAATCTGAATTCGTCCCTACCCAAAAATAAAAATAGGAATTTAATTGAAAAAAATATATATAGAGGGCTATTATTACAATTATCCCTAAATATAAAGTTAAAATTATTTTTTTCTCGAGTTGGATCGAGTCAAGTATTTTTCACCCTAAATCAAACTTGATCCGACTCAAACCAAAATTTTATTTTTAAAAAATCTAACCTAATCGAGTCAGGCCAGTTCGAAAATCGTCGGATTCATATTTAATGCCCACTCCTAATCCTAGGCTTGTGGTTATGAATTACGATCAGATTTGTTTGTCACGAGGAGGGAAATGAAGCACATGATTTGGTTAAGTCAGTGGGTTTGAATTTGATGATCCCATGTGAGGTCCAACACCATGTATCACTATCCAAACCACATATAGAAAGTGGATATAAACCTGTATTAGCACTACCCTATCTTATTCACCATCTAAAATATGACCCAAAACCATTTACGTTTAAATATACAAAAAGTATCCAACATGGGCCCGTTTTTTTAATTTAGTGTCTAACGTTTATTTCGTTTCAGTTTGATGTCTAACGTTTCATTTCATTATTCAAAATAGGTCAAATCATGACATACCTTTAGTTTTCTCCGTTGAGAAGGGCCACAATCTCGTAATTTTGTTTTTTTTAATATTAAAAATATTATTACATTTATAAAAAAATCCTTATTTATTTTAAATTACAAAAAAGCCTCAAAATCCCCAAATCCTAACACTAACTCGTCGTTGCCGCCCTTTCCGGCCACGTTCACTGTCGCCGACGTAGTCCTTGTCATCATCTTAGTTATAAGTCGTCGTAGTTGCCGTCGATTGACTGTCGAAATCGCTTGGGATTGTGATTTTCATCCTAGGTTAGCGGGATATAAAACATCGATTTGTTGTCGATTGACCGTTGATTAGTCACGATTTCATAAAGAGTTCTGGACGTCAGGGGGAGGTGAGGTCGGGTGGAGCTTTGTCGACAACAAAGGGCGACGGTCGGCGTGGGTTTAGGGGTTGAAATGAAGGTTTTCAAAGTTTTGGAGTTATTTCAAAATTTACGTGTTTTCTTTTTTTTTTAAATATAATATTATTTTTTTTATTTTATATAAAAAATTTGTATATTTAAGCCAACCATTTAACAGCTTTATATAACCATTCATTAAAATGATTCTAGTCCAAACTTAACTGGATTAGTCCCCCATTAAAAATAATCTTGACACGTATTATTATCTTATTTTTAAACTCAGTTAGTGTAGAATACCTTAAACCCGGATTATAATACGAGAAATATATCTGAATTCTTAAAATGGTATTATATTAGTGATTAGAGGGGGGGGGGGGAAGAGAGAAAAGCAACAAGAGATGAGAAAAGAAAGGAAAACTTTATGATAAACTTTCTACCTTTTTGGTGCTACTTGTTTGGATTCTCTCTATGGTTATGGAAAGGGAAACATCTTTCGGACTTTTTCTGATTAAAATTCATCTGTCAAACAAGTCCTACATGGACTTTTCTGTGTCTTCCAAAGTGCATATATTTCTATTCCACAAATGGTATGATTCTTGAAAAATCTATGGAATATCGAACACAGCATTACTTGCGAGTCGCATACAAGAGCAAACATCCTAGTCCGAGTAACATGGGTAGCAGATGATATTGGCAATGACAATGGATTCTATATCAGTTCACGAGAATCAAATAATCTGCTTTCTACAACTTTAGAAAACAAAGTAGAGATTTAAGAGAGACTCAAGTTCCCAAATTTATTTAAATACAAGTGGGATTTATGGTACAGAAACTTACTTGGTCCTACCTCTCACCATTTCATATATATACTATGTACAGAACTCTGCAAACCATCTAACTGAAAAACCCTGCTCATACCATTAATGGAAAAGAAGAGGAATTCCAAAAACAAAATTAAACCGAAATAGAAAAATCAGCTTCTACTTGAGCTAAACACTCTGCCTTCAAACCATATGATAGGACTCTTCCTTTCTTTTGCTCTCTTCCGCATACTTTGAGAGTTGGTTATGTAGGAGGGGGTTGGTGAATGAATATGACCAAGTGGCTAACGAAGCAGGGCAGGATTCGTACAGTCATTAACACCAAGTTGTAAGCAGGCACCGTAAGCAATTAAAAGTCATAATTTACACGATTATTGAGCTCTCGTGGAAGTTTATTGACCTTGACAATGCTGCTGGATTTGCCTGCAAGACCACAGAGGTTTCGCGAACCTGATTCCTTTCATCACCCTTTGAATAAAATGCTTTGAAGAGTCCTCCGCCACCTATTGAATCAGATTTGTCATTCTTGATGCCGAGTGTTGCCCATATAGAACTCTTTCCTGCTTCTCCCGGATCATCGGTCCTCAATGTTTTCGGAATCCAGAGGCTTCTCTCAGCATTATTTTCCTTTACTGGCTCCTCTTCTCCAGAGTTGCTTGCCTTGCTCATGTTCTCTTCTCGTGAATGTTTACCCAAGGTAGGGGAATCAGGACCGGAACTTGGGGCTGATTGCTTTGGAGTAGAAGGCTGAGGCTGCCAAGGGGAATTCCAAGTGCCTGGTACGTTACAACCCCAGTAAGCAGCTGAAGGATAGAATGGCATTGGAAAGCAGCCTGGAGGGCAGAAAGCAGCTGGAGGTACAGGAGAGCTCCATTGAGCTCCATTCCATGGGTAAGGCCAAATAGTCCCGGGATAGCATAGCATCTGAGGTGGAAAACCATGACAATTCTGCATCATTTGATCTTGTGACCCAGCTTTACCTGCCTCATTCTTTGAAGTCAGGCCCGCTGATCCATTTGAACACTTAACACCGTTTTCTCCACCTCTAAAAGGTACAGGAATTTTTAACTCCCCAGGCTTATGAAACCCATTCCTTGTGGTATTATGCATTGTTTTATCTGCAACGTTCAAAACAAAAGCCATTGATTCACAAAGGCGTGTGTCCGAGCCAAAGGTCAGAACTGTACCATTAGCTTTTAGAGCTGGATGGTGGACTCCATTAGGAATCTCGGTATGAGCATTATGCAGAGCTTCAGAGACAATTATGTCACGGTATTGAGAAGCTGAATTTTTGTTCTTGCGACGTCCAGCTCCCACAGGCATATTTCTCATAGTCCCACCAGCTGTCCAGTATCTTTGGCAGTTCTTGCAAAAGTGTCGGGGTTGATCGACATTGTAATTGTTGTAGTAACAAAACTTGGTATCCATGCTGTTGCAGCGGGGGCAAGGAAGAATTTTAGTAGGTTTCTTCAAGGTTTTTTCTTGCAGATTACTTGTTGCACTTGGATCTTCTTCTGTTTTTGACATTTTTAAACCCGTTCTCTCCTTCTCAACGGAAGCTGTTTCAGAGCTGTCGCTAGCTCCTGAGATTGCCTCCAAATTTGTAGACTCTCCAGAAATAACTGGAGGAGAACTGTCATCCTCTTTAGATCCGTCCTCCTTTCTATCTCCATCTTCATGCTCAACGCCTGTTGTTTTATCTCCCTTAGTGTCCTGAATAATTCGGAGGAAGTAAAATCAGCACGAGAACCAAAAGGAGTTGAAAGAGCATGATCATCATACATAACTAACTGCATTTTCTTGCCATTTGCTACATAAAGAATCGGTTTCAAGCCAATAGCAACCACCATTCCAACAGCTATAAAATAAATCATCAAAGCAAAGAAGTTGCTTAAGAACTTAGGA